CAAGAGACAAATTGAAGATATCCTAATACTGTAAAAGGAATTGGAACAATTTAGTTTCAAATAGATTCTGGCAATTTCTTCTAATATTCACAACAGCTAAGTATTATATGAATAAATGTAAAAATTTGTATGGTATTCCATGGACCTATATATAAGAACAGGGAAATCTGTTTTGACTTTAAAATTTCAGAGTAAACTTCAAGATTAAAGTGCTATTTATTTTTTAATTAGGTCACATGCATAGAAATCACGAATAACTCCTTCCTTCCTTCCTTCCTTCCTTCCTTCCTTCCTTCCTTTCCTCCCTCTCTCCTTTTCTCCCTTCCTCCCTCCCTTTCTCTGTTCCTCCCTCCCTTCCTTCTTTCCTTTCTTCTTCTCCTTTCTTCTCTTCCTTTCTGCTCTAAAATGGTCGGCTGTCCTTGACAGTATTCTTTTTAGTTAGATGGCAACCTTTTAAGAGAAAGATACAAGGAAGACTGGGGCAAAAGTGCAAAGAATCAAAGAATCACTAAACCAAGTCATAAGAATGACTTATGGAACAGAGGAATGCTTAGGATTCTTACCCTGGATAAGGACAACTCACTCACAGAGCATACAGATTCCGATTCCAAGATATGTGTATGATTGGAAGGCATCAACTTCTAGCTATTTCAGAAAGTGAAACCATCTGAAATGAACCCCATGGTGATCTCGCTACCAAAAAAAAGTTTGAAGCGTTGAGCAATTCAAAGCACGGTGGGTTTTTAGGAACCCAGGAAGGAGTTCCTAGAGGATGAGTTGTGAGGAGCACTGCTTGGGATGAACTGTTGAAGTTAGCTTTGAAAATTAAAATAAATCCCATGAGTTAGAATGGCATAACAAAAACAACTTCCTAAACCTTTACACACACATCCCGCCCACACAAAGATCATTTTCCCCCAAATATGTGAAAACTGTACAATTAACATATGAATAACAACCCTTTTTCCTATTCCTTTTAGAAGAGAAAGAACAGGGCATGCATTGAAAAAAAAATAAAAGAAGTACTGATAAATCGCTTGCACAATTGTTGTTGTGCATAGAAAGTCATAAGCCCCAGGAATCTATTTTGAAATAAAAGAAATGAACTGAGAAGGAATACATAGATTTTGCTGGATGCAGCTTCCAGTCCTGCATCAGTACAGAGCAGCCATGAAAAAAGCAAACAAAGGTCGGAGAAGCCTGTGTAGAGGGGGTGAATAGAAAGAGAACAAATTACTCTTGCCTTGATAAATGCTACATCCATGTGCAGCTCTGCAGGAAGGCCCTGGCCTTCTCCCTCCCTCTTCAAGGAGCATAACAGCCTTAACGGGGAGGAGGAAAAGGCAAATAAAAGGGGGAAATTCTGGTGTACAGTAATCACAGTACAAGCAGACACCTAGACATGGAATATTTAAAGAGAATCTCACCGACAGCAGAAGAAGCTTAAGGAAGCCAAGGAGACTGTGCTAGGCTTGTCAGATACAGAAAAAAAAGAAAGTGAGAAGGCAATCCCAGCAAAGCTCAGTAGAGTCAAAAAGCGCAGCCCCTTGTCTCCTTGATAAAAGTCCCAAACACACGGCCCAATTTATTAAAGGTTCTTTCTTCCCCACTAACCAACAGACTTCCACTCGTCTCCCACATTCTTTCTGACTTATTTCATTAATGTTTCCTTCTTTTTCTGGAGTGGTCAGAGCCCAGGGGAATCTCTCGCCTCCCTCTCCTCCTCCCCCACCCCCCCCCCACCCAGCACCAACCAGTGGGGCATTGAACGAGAGCCAGAGTGTTGTCTGTGAAAGAGAAATTGCAAAACCACAAATTGCAGAAAATAGTTACTGCCAAAAAAATCGAAAGAAACACACAATATCACCATGCCTCTTAAAAAGCAATTGTGCATTTTACAGGCCTCTGGTTAATTCAGGTTTGTTTGGCAACTTTCTCACCCCTACCACCCAGAAGACATTTCTCTTCTACCAGTGGCAGTGGGCCTATAGAATATGAAGAGTTAAAACCCCCTCTCCCCCAAATAAAGGCGGGTGTGAGTCTTTGTAGGGGGCCTCATTTGGACCATACTGTTCTATTTTCTTCTATTGTATTAGTACTTAATAGCAGTACTTCTATTCTACTTGTACTGATTTTAAAGCTCCAAATTTGACTCCAAAATGCAGTAATAGGAACAAAAGTGGAGTAGGCAGTATGAGATTAGGAATCTTACCCCAACAAAAAGAATTATTGGTATGAAATGTCACAAAGGTGGGCCTAGGTGCCTCATCAACTGGATAACCCAGACTCTGCCTGATAACCTATATGATCAAATAACTGAGATGACAGGACACCAGAAGTTGAGCTTCTCAACATCCTACCACTCTTTTCCGGCCCATCTTCTGTAAACTCAATGATGAATGCTCACTCTCCCCTTCCTACCCACACTTTGTTAAAATGGAGAAAGATTTCTCCCTTTCTCTGAAATCCTATATAAGAAGACCCCTTCTATAATTTGAGATTTTTTCTTGCTTTATTTTTTCTTCCTTTCCCATCTCTCAAATACATTATATTCTAAATTCAGCCATTTGAACTCCAATCCCCTGCTTTCAATTTTGACTGCCTGCAGAAAAGAACCTGAGCACATGCTATAATACCAGGATCTGTGACTGAAAGAGAGAGAGAGAGAGAGAGAGCTGTCAATAATCTGAAAAGATTCCTTAAAAGGTCAAAGCATTATCTTATATGATTGTCACAATAATCTCGACCCTTCTCACTCCAACCCCCAAACACACACACCTTCATAATAAGGCTGTTTAGAAACTGAAGAGTTAGCTAGCATTCTTGAAATCAAATCATACCTGAGGAGTGATTTGAGATTCAAGCGCGAGCGTTTAGGTTTTTAACTGCTGAACTGCTGAATTCCATCCATCACTCACCCCTTTTCTTTGTCATAGCACACAATCCTAATTTGGCTACATAATTGACTGGGATTTTATGTGTCCCACCCATATTTTCAAGTTCTTTTTGTGGAAAAGCTCCGTCATTCATGGAAAGTAGCCTTGTGTGAATAGAGTGCTGATTATGCCTTTTGTATTGGTTGTATAATACCATCATTATTAATGTACAATGCCAATCCCAGGAAGGCTGATCAAGCCTGGGTGCCAAAATAAACCAAGTTATAATCATTCAGTGATCTCAATGTGTTCCTATGACTCCATAAGACAAGACCAACTTTGAGCCCTACACTCAGAGATCACATAAAGAGCTGTGAAGGTGAACAGTCCCACATTGAGCTTACTTCTTAGCATACTTCCTAATAAAATAGACCATTATGCACTTTGTCTAGCTCAACTCCTCCACATAAATTCAACTAAAATTTGGATAAATAGAGCAGCTAAGAGTCATATATGTATTTGTATTTTTCTATTTACATATAATGACTTAAAATGTTGCCTTAGAGTGCTCTTCGTTGAATTTTTAACTGTAAACATTTATTAAGTATATTTTAGTATTTCGCATACAATCATGGAAAATGTTTAGAGAAGCAGAAAACATGTGATAAATATCTATCAATAAGGAATATATCGGAACACGAACTCATGGGATTTCCCGTGAACAGTTACTGTGATCCAAGGAAAGAGTACAGCAAAAAGTGTATTCATTTGAACAAATAAAATGCTCATGATATATAACATGATTACTGGTAAAAGCTGCTAACACTCATGACAACCATGTATCTTGAAGATGCATTGAAGACCAAAAATGTAATATAGAGATTGATATTTTAAAAAATTACAGTGAATGCATAATACATTGCCACAAACTTTGAATGACTTTGAGGGTGAATATCACTTGTGCAAATGTTTGAGTATTTGGGGGAATAACAAAGAGATCAGTTTATTGAAGCAAATAAAAATTATCCAAGGAAATCAGTAAGATCTTTCACAATTCAGCAGGCTACATAGTTTGCTCTGGAATGAAATGATTCAAAAAAGAAATTATAGGGTATGGATTATCTATCTGAGCTAGCTATCTATACAGATATATGCCAAGAATCATTTAGAAAGTTCTGTGTTCAAGAATGTCCAACTAAATGTTTCAGTAATTGCTGAGCTACATCTTCCATTGGAAATTCTGTATAAATCAGGAGCTGAGAGTTGACACTCCTTGTTTTAGGTTTCTGCCTGAAGATATCTGATTTATCTATCCACAGTGGCAAACCATTTGCTATCTTTTAAGGTTTTTTTTAACAATTGGTGTCCTTATATTGGATCCATATATAGCTCATGTTTTTATAAACTTGGATATTACCAAGTTATTCCAGAGGCAGATGAAAATTTCATTTCTAGAGGGTCAAAATCACAATAATTATGGAATAAAAATGAAAAAAATTCACATTAAAATTCCCCAAAGCAAAACTCTAAAACATTCAGAGAATGCCCAGTTCAAACCTGGCATGTAACTTTATTTGGTCTTTTAGAATAGAGGAAGGTTTGTAATTTTCATATGAACACTAGGAGTACCACGAGGAAAGAAACATAATATAAAAGAGAATCGTCCTAGAAAGAACACTCATTTTACAGAGTAATACAGTCCTCCCAGGAAGGAATTATTACGGTAACTACTAATGTTGTTAAATATGAAACAGTCTGTAACTGGGAGAAGCAACTGAAAGAAAAGTAATAAATTAGCAGCCATCTTGAAAGACTATTCAAATGCTTGTTGCCACAGGGTCAGAACAACTAGAAGAATATTGCCTGTATTTTTAGCTTTTTGTATACAATACAGATCCATTCTGCTCCCCTAACAGTTTATAAAATGCTTCATAGTGCTTTACAAATCAATAGTGTGAAATGTGTTGATGGGGTAGTGTGGGAGGCTAACATACACAAAAAAACTATGATTGTACTGTTTGAGTCAGATTTTAAACTCTAGTGATATGGGAGCCTTAAAGACAAGAAGATTTTAGGTATTACAGCTGAAAAGTAGATATCATTTAAAGGAGGAATTGTACTTACATTTTGCTGCAAGTGGAATGCCTGTCCTTCAGGGGTAGTCTCTGAAACAAAGAGAAATAATAATTTTAAAAAGTGTGTTAGAAATGTCTTATTACCCAATAAAAATGAAAAAAAGCATTGAAGTGCCTTGGAAAGTGTAGCCTCTAACTGATAAGATGAAAAGAATAAGATGAGTAAATATTTTCTGTGACACTTCTCAGAGGAACTGATAGCGGTAGAAAACACACACAGTGGCGCACACACACACACACACACACACACACACACACACACACACTTAGATCCACTGTCTTACCTCTGTGTTTGCTCAGCGCCCTGCCCCTATAAACAGCCCCTAATTTCAAGACCATTTGATGCTCACTTTTTCTCCCTAGTGTCTCGCGGGTCTGTTAGTGCAAAGACATATCAATCAGCCTTTTGGTGCATACTGACATTGTACTTGTTCTTGTAGGTCCAGTTCTGACACATTGTTCCATTAAATGTGACTCCTCCTGAAAAATGAAGATTTTCTCAATTCATGCTTATTATTGGGATAAGTGGATAGTTTTCTTTTCCAAGAAATGAAAAAGCTTTTGCAGGGAGGGGGAGGGCCAGCGTGAGGGGGTATTTCAAAGTAATGCCAGGTTTTTTTTTCCAAGATGGCAATGAAAAGAGGGCACCAATTAGACTGTGCCTGTCTGGAAGGAGTTTGCCAGTTATACAGGCAATTTGTTGCATGTGGCAGCCCACCAGACAATTCAGCTAGTTTCCAATCCATTTTTATTTTGGCTCTGTTTGAGGGTCTATCAAAGGGACACTTTTCAGATTGGTTTGCTGTTTAACTGGGGGTGGTGATTAACATGGGAGGTTCCACATGTTGTAAACAAATTGTATTCTGAGAGTCAAGTGGTTTCAGGTCATCTTCAAGGACTCAAGTCCTACAGATGTCCTCAGATCTTTAAAAACATTTTGCCATGTCACCCATGTTGATCTGAGTATGTCAGATTAGCTAGCTTGGTGAGAAATATTTTTCCCAGTTATGCCATTTTCAGTAATAGTGTGACTCTGGAAAATTGATTCAATGTTCTGTGATTGATAAAAATAATTATGGCAAAGAATGGTTGTAATGGTACAATAGAATAATGCATATAAGTCACTAAACCTGATCCACAGTAGGGACACTATATATGCTAACTCGTTGTGTTACTATTACTATAAAAACGCTAATTTTGAAAGTCCCATTAAGAAGAACAACCATTGACCTGGAACTATGAAGATGTGATGATGTGAAGATAGCCTTGGTTGAAATATCTCTACTCTTGGCAGTTATAAGCAGTTGTATCACTGCTTTGCTTTTTCTCTCCCAGACTCCATTACTTCAACCCTTACCCCTCGAACTGCCACGGATAACTTCAACATGCTTAATAGCCACATTGGGCAATTACTCAAGGTTCAAGCAAGCTACCTAATTCCTCATGTACTATCCATGGAGATGGTTAAGAAGTGAGTGAGGGCCATAGGTGGACACATTATGAAAATTATGGAACTGCTATGTCTATGAAAGATAGGATTAATTTCTTTTCCAGAGGTCACTATTGAAAATACGTACTAGACACATTTCTAGCACACTGAATTTTTAATTTGGGTCTTCTATGCTTGACTCTACAAGATGTCATCTAAATTCATGACACAGCTCTGACCACCATCTGACATACATTCTCCCCATTTTTCCCCTTCTGTGCAAAAAATACTGCTGAAAATTCCTCTGAAATGTCTACCTTCAGTTCCTTTGAGGGACTCGTTGCTAGGAAACACATTTAGAATGCTCTCACCTACCAAGAAAAGTTTTTGCCTCAGCTAGCAGATTCTTCTTTAGCTATAAAAGTATTAACACAGAAAACTGCTTTTCTGTTACTTTATGGATTCATTGGACAAAAGCTCTTAGTTTGGACAACAGTTTCACAGAAACACTATTGATCACTTTAAAAAAAATAATTCAACATCATCCTTATTCTGCTGTAAGAATCTATCTAGTGGTATGGTACTGTTCATATTTTGGGAGGTTAAGAAATATATAAAGCCATAAAGAATACTGTGATAGTGAAGTTTTACAGACCATAGAGGGACATGAAAATATGCATGATTTTTTCTTAGATTATTTCCACATTAGAAAAAGAAAACCGTGAATTCTTAAAGGAGAGAGATCTTAAAATTATTAATTAACTAATATCTTATGTGTTTATTATGTTCCTGGTATGTTCTGAACACTGTGCTAATAATACACTGTGCTAATAATAAATACCCTTCAGGTACTATCTGTCTGGTTGGCGAGACAGTGAGAGGGAACACAAAATAATGATGCAAAATGACAGTGGTGGTCAGTGGAAAGGAAAGAAGATCTTCAATGAGCCGCTGTGGACAGAAAAAATTGTAACACCTAACTGGAGAGGAATTGGGACAAAATCTGCAGGGATAAAATCATTTAATAATGAAACAGCTAGCATTTCTGAGGGCGTCCTGCACCAAAAGTTCTCCTAACTGCTTTTATATGAGGATTCACATATTCCTCATAGCAGCCGATAGCAGGTCTTATCCTTATCCCTATGATAGGAGTTAATGAGAGCAAGTGGAGATCCACCGTCAGTGAAGTATGGAACACATCATGCAAAGGGGAATTATGCCAGGGGCCTGGGATAAAAGAAACTGGTCTTTTAAGGGAGTACAATCAAAACCCCAGTTCACCATCATTTGCACACACTTCATTCTTCTAGCTCATAGACATCTTCTAGGAACCATGGATGGGTGCTCTTCTGAGATCAATCCCAGATTACTTTGGTTAGGAAAGCTTAGCCTCTCTTGTTACTGCCTCAGGGTTATGTCGGATTTATCTTGGTTCTTTGATCTGTCTCCTACCTACACATTATAGGACATTCAAGGCCTTGGTCACCCTCAGAGGACATGTGAGACCAGCAGGGTACCATCTCCAGGTCACGGTATGTATGACAAAATTCAGTAGGTAGGTCCACATGAAATTGATCTTTTCCAAAGTTGCCAGATACCTTCTTTGTTTCCCTTGTGAGGAAAAAAGTCTCCTACACTATCATGGGTTTGATTGACTCTGTAGTGGGTTCTTATCTGAAAAGGTGTAGAGGCTGGTTTTTCTTCATAACTTTGTTCACAGGAGTTTTTTTTATATATAGTTTGGCCACTAATATTTTAGGAATTTTTTTTATGTAGGAGCATTGCTATTTATTCAGCCACTGATTAGCTGATTGAATTGGGCATGAACTCCACTGTTTCAAGAATTTTTAAACATTTCCAATTCTCTCTTAATACACATAATATATATGCATATATATGTGCATGTGTGTGTATCTGAGGGGGTCGGCTATGGATGGTGAACCCAGGATTCAAACCCATGCAAGACATGGGCTATCCCACTGAGTCACATCCCAGCCTTTTTTTAAAACTCCCCTAGTCTTGACAATGTGCCTTTGCTGAGAGCATAGTAAACTCTACATTTCATAACTATGTTTATATTGAAAGTTTTCTGTGTGTTTTAATTTCTTTCTAGTTTTCAACAGTTAAAACTTTAATTAAATAAGCAACTTTTATTACAGAAAATTTGGAAAATACAAAGAACACTAAAATGAGGTTAGAAAAAGTTCACAACCTCAAAGATTTATTTGAAATAAAAAGAAGTGAATGCTTTGCCCCCTACAACAACCCCATTTCCCAGGGGTAATTACTGTCAATAGTGTGTGAGGGTATCATTCCAAATGGTTTTATGCTTATGAACATCCATATATACATAAACCTTTATACATATACACATATACTGTTACTTTTTTCAACAAGAACAAAACCATGCTATTTAGTTCTCTGTACTATGCTTTTATTCTTTCAATAGTATTTTATGGACATACATTCCAAGTAGGTATAAATAGGTCTCATTTTTTAGTGGGCAAATGGGAATCTATTTGTGGACATGCCTAATTTATTTAACCAATCCCATATTGATGAAAATTTAACTTTCTTGTGATTCCGCCCCCCCACCCCATTTCAATCAACTTGCAATGAGAAAACATTTGGAACATTGGTGTTTAAACCTATGCTCTTATAGTGTAGGGAAGTTCTTAGAATTGCAAGTACTTTATAATAGGGCCCATGCAGCTTAATATCAGATTGCGAGTCCAAATTACTCTTTAAGAAAGTTGAATCGGTCACCATCCACCAACACTATAATATGTCTTCTAGATTGTGTCTTTTATTTTATTCTTATGACTTCTTTTTCTTTGAGTCTTCTCTTAGTAATAAATCTTCTATTTAAATTTCAAGATATTTAATTCCATTTTCAGTAATGTTTTTGAATTCCAAGAACCCTTTTCCTTTTTCTCAGATTGCTTGTTTATAATCACTCCACCAGCCCCTCTAGGAACTTCAATTCTTTTTCTTTTTCTTTTAGGGTTATTTTTATTTCTTCCCTTAAAGATGTTCACCCAGAACTCCCTGTTCTGATTTGCTGTTTTAGCTCCTGGAAAGTACTGGATCACTTTGAATGCTTTACACAGTTTTCCTCCCCAGTGTCAATTGCATGAACACACCAGATCTCCTGACCCCTAAAAAGGAGGGCTACTTAGTACATATGCAGGTAGATTTCTGGGTTCTCCTAAGCAGTAGGTCTGCAAATGGTGGGACGATAAGGAAGAACTTTTCCTGGTGAATTAACTAGTAAGATAGTTCTCCTTGACTGAGTGGTACAGGGGAGGCTTCCAAGTTCTTAAAATGCCTCTGAAAAACTTAGGGTATCAGTTCTCTTCTAGTTATATGCAAAATGATGTCTTATTTGGTTATAGTTTCTTAATTAAAATAAAAGAAAAGCAACAATAACAAACCCAAACATGACTACCAGAGCCATAAACAATTTCCTCTATGAAGCCAAGTTGACTTGCCAAACACAAACTGTCATCTCAAGACTAAGAATATCAGGAAATTTGGATGATTTGTATACTCTCAGATTGAGTGCCGATAACACCATGAATTGTACACTAACTCAGATACCGG